TCAGCTCTTTTGCTATAGAAGCACGGTTTCTTTTGTAAAAGTTCTGAAAAAGAGCAGCGAAAGTCAAAACAATAGGGATGACTTTTTAAAGGATACTATAAACTAGCATCAGGCTCCTTGGTTTTCCTGTTAAGACACATTTTTCAACTAGGTGAATAAATGGCATTTACAAAACTAACCTCTTTCACATTCAAACCGTTTTTAATGGTAAACATAAGTTCTCAGTTATGGTGTTTTAAATTATTCTAATATATGGCTTTATGTTTATGTGCTCTGCTACAGGATATGGGACAACCGTTAGAGGCCAAATGAGACTGCAGCCATGTCATTTGTTTATGTCTTATCTGTTTGTCTCATTTCCTTCCCTGTTGACACCCACTGTTTCTCTCCCACTCATTTCCTTTTTGCAAAGTCTTCATAAACAGTTTGGGTGTCTGGATAATTGTATCCAGGTTCTACATGAAGGGACAGTTCCCTTATTGTAACCTGCACATGTTTTGAACAGGTTTGAAGCCTTTAAAATATAAAGTAGAAAATGTTGGTGAAGTTTTCACATCTGTAACACTTAAATATTAATACTCCTGCAGTTGGCAAAGTAAGTAACCTTTCATAGTTAAGAAAACATCCAAGTAGAAAACCTTTCTTTCTGTGGCCTCCAGTGTTTTCATTGCCCATTCACTGCCACTGTTTACTAATTGCTGCAACTCTTTGGACAGCCAGGTGTGACCAGCCCCAAACGTAACTCCACATTCCTTCCTTTGGAGCCACTGTAATTAGCTTTAACTCAGGCATTTTGTTAGCACAGGAGCTGTTCTCTCCTTTCTTTTGTCTGTGTGAGTCTGTCTCACCCTCTCTCCCTCTGTCTCCCAACATGATCTTTAATCTCTGCCTCCACCTGTGCTTTTTGACTGAGCTTCCTTCAAAATGCAAATATCCTCCCCATTAGCAACAGTGCATGTTTTTAAATGAGAGTCAGAGTAAAAAGTGCACACTTTATTACATAGGCTTATAAAAACAGAAGCCAAATGGATCAACTGGAAGACTGTGTGAAGCTTTTATATCAGCATTGTAGATTTGTGTTGCTCAGCAGCTGCTGACTGGGAGAAGACCCTTAAAAGCTCCAGCAACTTGGTTTCAGACCAACTCAAATACCCACAGTGATCCCAAGTGACTCATCAGAGCGTGGCTGACCAGCAGTGCTCCCCAGCCAGTCGTCAACCTTATCAACAGACAGGATCTTAGTCGGGATTGGAAAAACAGGAAGAACCCCCTGCACAGGAGAAAGATGCTGGTACACTGTTTGTGTGTGTGCATGCATTTTTGTATGTTTGAATGACCAACCATATGTGCAGGTATTGGCACAGTTGGTCTCGCTTTCAGAGTGAGATGTACATGTTTCACTGCACCAGAACGTTTAAACTGCTTGTGGCCATAGAACCCTCATAGAACACAGCTCTCTGTTTCACAGTCAGTAAATCAGGTACATACTCTGTGACGGGAGCATATATGGCACTGTTCACTGTAAATGGCACCCTTTGAATGGCTGAATAGGCTTTTGTGCACCTCTTAAATAATCTGGTCCACCAAAGGTAACCACCAATGAAATGGGCCCCCCCTCTCAACTGTTTAATAGATCTTAGTATGGCCCCCGCTAGTCCGGTTGCATGAATACAGACTTGTGTTTGGCCGTTGGCCAGTGGTAGTTTGTCTGCAAATGGTCTCTATCCCTGGTGTCGGAGAGCAGTGCTTAGGAATCTGTACTTGTTTGGATTATTTATAGCCATGCTGACATTTACATTGCTCTGGAGGGGGAAAAACTCAAGGCTACACTGTCCTTTGATTGTGGTATTAACCATCTTTTTCAAGATGGGGGGGAAATGTCCCTCTTTTAATTCTTAAGGTCTGTACCTGGTCATTTTTTCTAAATACTGCTCTACAAGCCTTTAATTTTATGTAGGTCTATGGAAATGCACATTGAGAGAATGAATAGGTTTCACATCTTTAAAAGTAGTTGTGAATTGGAATGGTTTTACTTCTTATTTTCAAACTTTAGCAGGTTCACATGACTATAATGTTCAAAAGCTGAATTTGTGAAATTTTTGTAGCTTTTTTTAAAATTATTATTCAGATGTGTCACTAGCTTTGCAACAATTGGCTGAATCTTAATCTATACCATTTGCCACTGGAGCGTGCCACCTGCCTCTAACATATTTGTTAGTATTTTCCCTCATCAACAGTCTGACTGAAAATGAACAGTACCCCTTGGCCCATATTAAAAGAGGTATCTCTTGTTTGATCTGTCAGTTCAGTGCCCACGCCCTCATGGTGTTTGGATGTTGCCTGCCATCATAACAACAGGGGAAAACCCTTCTTTAATCATAACACTGCACATTTCACTCTTCAGCAACCTTTTCTTTTATCATACTTTGAATGTGTCTGCACAAATCAGTGTGTACATGTGCCAGTGCTTGTTTTCAGGCAGGCAGAAGTGAGTCTAGTCTTGTCCAAACAAACAGTGGAATACCAACAACTTCTGTCTGGATGGAGAGGCAGAGATGATGTCATTGTTATTACTTGATGTGCTTTGGGAATCCATGCTGATTATTATCACAGCAGCGCCAACACTGGTTTGTTATTGCTATTCAGAGGTCATGATTAAATTCAAGTTTTCTTAATTGATGGCTGGATATGCACAGGCTTCATACAGATACATTTTCATAGTGTCTTTGATACCTCTGTCATGTCTGTACACTAAATATAAAGCTGCTGCCAGCAGACAGTTAGCTTAGCTTGGCATGAAGATGAGGGAAGTGGCTAGCCTGGCTCTGTCCAAAAGTAATAAAATTCACCTTCCATCAGAAAATATTTTTACCAAAGCACTGGTGCCCACTGCTTGCCCTTTTGACCTCAATCCAAAATGAATGGCACTAGTCATTAATCTGGATCGATAGTGACAAGAGCAGGAGATCCCAGTGTCCACACTTTAGCAGTGACTAAAGCCCCTTTTCCACCACCTGGTACCGGTTCAGCTTGACTCAACTCAACTCACCTTAAAGTATTTCTGTTTCCATCAGTCAGATGTTGAGGATAGTACCTGGTACTATTTTTGGTGTCACCTCTGCCGAGGTTCCAAGCAAGTAAAGGTGATACCAAACGGTGACGTGTAAACACTGCAGACTAGCAATTTGGTCAGAGAAATCGCGTCATCAACATGTGAGACATCCTGGGACAAAGAAACCAGCGGTATTTTGATGTCCTCCACTGTTACGGTGTCGGTTGCTGACGACATCACGACAATGTAATGCCGTGTTGCTATGACAGCCAGCTACACTGAGAGGGAACTATCTACAGTCGATTTGAGTTGAGCCGGTACCAGGTGATGGAAAAGCGCCTTAAGTTCCAAAGAAGTGGACTTGGTGGGGCTGTACCCTGCTTCTCTGTAATTATCCAGCAAGCCCTGGGGCAAATCCATGTGGCTGACACAAAGGCCTTCCCCCTTCTTTCTCTCTCTCTCTGCCACCACATCCAGTGTCGCAGTGTTAGCACCATGTGTCTGCAGTATGGGAGGTCTTGAAGTCGTGGCCTCTGCCTCTCCCTATATTTAAGGGGAATAGACATTCGTACCCATTTTATTTTCCATTGTCATTGTACTCCCTGTTTTCACTCTGTTCACTGTTTATGCATTCATGCCTCCTACTGTCTTGAAGTTCTCTTTAATCATCCAGACTTTGGTCTTTTTTGTAAAAAAAAAAAAAAAAAAAAAAGAATGCTAGTCTATTACAGTATGAGAACATATGAGGTATTTAGTTTTGGCTTTCTTTGTATCTACAGTTTTTAAGCCCATGTTTATGCACAACACGGAGCAGCTCACAGAGATGTGCAAGGTTAATATCACATAAAGCCTGTGAATCAGTATTTGTTAATAATGTTAATAATTTGCTTTCCAAAGGTCAAAAGGTATTGCATGATTGCCTTGTGTAATGCCCGTGCTTGTACTGTGCAGCTGCCAGCAATTCTTTTCACAGATAATAGTGGATCTTCAAAACGAGGAACCAAAGTGATCATGCAAAGTAGTCTATGAAGAACTACAGACCAGTTAACACAGTTGAAGCAAAGTGATTTTCTTTGTTTCCAGCATGAACACTTGCATAGAGGGAAGTGGGCTCAAAGAATGTAGAGAGGACTCATGAGGTTATCTCAGCACTGTTTATCTGTCCCAGAGTTCCTCTTGTTCAGGGAGTGAGAGCCTTGAAAAAGCTACTCCTCTGCAGCCTGTTTGCTTCAGATGAGTGTGTGAAAAGTGGAGGAGGGGTGTTTGGGACTGTGCATGTCTGTCTTGAAGCTGAAGCCAAGGACGAGAGTTGATGTCTGAATGGAAACGCAGATCTACTGCTCTGCTTTCTCCAGTGCTGGAGCTTCCCATCATGCTTTGCATGCCCTCTCACAGAACTCTTTATGGCCTTGGGTTTTGTGCCAGGTCTCTCACACACCTGCCAACAGCAACAAGTTGTTTTTTTGTTTGTAAATTCTTCACTATCACAATTTTTCTACTTCCACAGTTCCACATAAAACAGCAGGGTAAAATGTTTCTGATTTTTATGAGATGTGAAAAAGTCTAAGTTTGACAAGAAAGAGGCCCAAAGCCTTAATTTGACAGGACAATGAACTGGAGCATGGCTAGAGCAACACTGCACAGGCCTACAGACAGTAAGAAGTATAAACAAACTGTCAGATGAAGCTTGTGGGTGTAGTGAACATAAACGTCTCTTTACTTTTGGCACACAGTTGTTTGAAAATCTTTGTTCTCCACATATTGAATTACTTTGAATGTCTGGAAAAGTGCTGCATTAAGTACCAAAATGGAAAGAATATTTGTTCTGATCTGTATGAGACTGCAGATATAAACGGTACATTATTATAGCCTCACCTCATGCGCCACTTGAAAGATTTCTGGAAGTCATCTGTGTAGCCTGTCATCTCTCATCCCTTGTGTCTCGCAGAATGTGAAGATATTTCGAGCGCTGATCCTGGGTGAACTGGAAAGAGGGCAGAACCAGTACCAGGCCCTGTGCTTCATCTCTCGCCTCAACCGCAATGAGATCATCCCCAGTGAGTCCATGGCCCGCCTCCGACAGGTATGGTGACTGATATGATGACTGTTTTCAGTCATAGTTCTCAGAGCAAATCGGGGTGTGAATACTGATCATTTATACTGTATGCTCAGAAAAATCCTCAGGCCATTCGCATGGCAGAGGAGCGGCGAGGACTGGAGCAGCTGACAATGAGCGTGGCGGTCAATCTGAGTCGGGCCTGGCAACTCAGCTCCCACATCCGCAACATGTGCAGCGAGGCCCGAGAAGCCATATACACCAGGGAGGCAGATGTCAAACACTGGCTGGACAAAGGTCTGGAGTCATCTTTGTTTATCAGTGAAAGTTTTTTTAGTGGTTTGAGCAAAATATCTGTTGGTCTCCTGTCTTCTCTTCTTTTCCCCATCCCGTCTAATTGTCCCTAAGATCTGTATGTCTGTACTGATGATCTTTATCTCCACAATACTATCTCTTCCCTTTTCTATCACCTAAATGATTTTTTCCACTTCATTCACTCTTGGCATCATCACTGGATTGTTGTTGATAAGACTCTGTCAGTGAGTGCATTTACATGGACAGTGTCCCAGTTGTGATCATATTCAGCATATGGTGTTTACATAGAACACAGAGAAATCTGGTTATTAATATCCCCGTATACGTAATCAAAACTCGTATCCTGGTTACTGATTACTACTAAATCTTCAGTCTCCTCAGCTCTGTCATCTCCTATACTTTGATATAAGTAGGAAAACATATCCTAACTGTTTTTATTTATTCTTCTTAAAGGAAAAGACTGGGGATAGCCTACTATATGTGCTAATGTTGATAACCTGTACACAACTTAAGGCTACCAGGAGTTGATGTATCTCCCATTGGAGCCTTAGTATCCACTGGACAGGGAAAGCTGAGGTCAACTCCTTTGTCCTCTGTTGTGGAATCTTAGTATCCACTGGACAGGGAAAGCTGTCAACTCCTTCATCCTCTGTTGTGGAACGTGGATGGTGACCAACCAGGTCATCCAATATTTTGAAGAGTTTGGATGTTGTTGGACTAGGCCAACTTCTTTTGTTTTGATGTCTGGCCTTGTAGTAATTTTTCTTCCAAGGTTTTCAGTTGTGATCCGACCCATCCAGCATCCCATAGCTCATTTGCCCACTACACTTTTGAGGATGTCTGCATTTCCATGCTTTCAGTTCAGACAAAATTCTCTCTCTGCTCCAAAACAGAGATGCTTCTGCTCCAGATATTATTTGTGTTTATCTGAAGTCACTTAGATGCTGCAGCTGTGCCTAGGCAGATAGTCTGGAACACCCAGGAGCCTGGATAATATGGATGCAAAACAGTATCCTGTTTTCTTTTGGAGTACTCCAGCTAGTGTATTCTGGTTTCTCAAAACTGAGATAAGAGCTTATCTGGGTTTCAGAAAATAATTTTTGAAATTCTGAGATGAATTTTACTTATGCAAACATGAAAACGGGATACTTCAAAAACCATATCACAACTGGGACACTCATGTCCATGTAAACACACTCATTGTCAGTGCTGTTGATGTTTATTATGTTCCATTTGTCTTGTTACATCTCTTATAAATTTTCTACTTTGGCCTAAAAATAAAATCTTTGAAACAATGCAGTCTGAGTAGGCACACTTCCTTTATTTCTGAAGGCATTATTGTGCCATCACTATACTTTTCTCAATTGAAAACACATTATCAGACTTGATCGTTTATTTTTAAAAGGCCTTTTGCAGTGATGTCGAACCTATCCAGGCCGAGGAGAATCCATATACTGTAACACCACTTTGTCCACTCACAGCAGTGTTATTGCTCCGTGTCATTGTCTGCATGGAGGAATCTTGGTAGAATCTCCTTTGCATAACAAAACCCCCATTTTACTGCAATATCTCCCAAAGAAGTAGCCACTTTGTTCCCACTTTTCAGTTCACTATTGTGTTTCATATTGAGGGAAATCAGAAAGAGAAAGATTGACACGATTGTGTGATAGCATGCTTTTGTTTTTAAAACCACAAGCACTGATAATAATGCCCCCTCTCCTGCCTGTGTTATAGGAGTGGATGGCTCCATATTCGAGGTCTTGCCTCAGACAACAGAGGTGCCCAGCTTCCAGGCCTGTCACACTACTAAAGACTTGTGGCAGCCCTGTCTCTGCACATACAGCCTGCGTCTGGAGTGGTACCCGTGTCTGCTGAAGTACTGCCGTAGCCGGGACACTGTGGGAAAAGGCTCTACCTACAAGTGTGGCATAAAGAGCTGCAGCAAGGGCTACCATTTCACATACTATGTTCCCCAAAAACAGCTGTGTCTGTGGGACGAGGAGACCTAGTATTTTGTTCTGGATGGTTAAGAAAAGTGAAATCCTTTTTGTTTTCCTCAGCCAAGCCAATGCTCCTCCACCCATCCTATTCAAAGTAAACACAGGAACACCGGACCTCGGTTTATACGATGTTAAACAAAGCTGTCTCAGGTGGGTAGTGGTGTGAGCCAGATGTTCAAGCTGAAACAGGTGTTGGCACAGGAAGGAAGGAGTGATGCAGTGTGGGATTGTAAGAGGATCCACTGACTTTTTTTCTGGGAAAGTGACATATTGTTGTCAACTATAGTGTAACTATGCCAAGAAGATGTCAATTCTGTGCCTTTTTTGGGAGAAATAATGGGAGCAGATGACAAGATACCAATAACACCCTCTCAAATTAGCACCAAGATGGACAGTCTGTTTCTGGTCAATTAACCACCAGCTGAGGAGCAACAGAGTGGCACTGATCCCAAGACTCGTACAAACAAACTCTTCCATCCTGGTGAAGGAAAATTTGGATGGTGGATTTAACTTTCTTCTAAAGCTCTGTGAAAACGCCCGTGTATAACCATTTAAGCTGGTTGTCAAAGAAAACGCTTTATTTATTTTGGTTGCAAAATGAAATTATGGAGGACTATTTTTGTATCAGTTTAATTTTTATATTGAACAAGCTCTTAAATTAACACGTTAAACCACAGGTCCCCAGTAACAAGAAGTGTTCAAACACATTTCAGACATTTCAGATGTTTTGATGTCATGGATATTGGGTGTTGTTTATAGACTCATCGATACATCATACTACTTTATTGTCAAGTTTTCATGGTACTACAGACTATGCAGATAAACAGGTTTATTATATCCTTTAATAGGACAGTTTTAGTTCTTCTTTACACCATCAATACCCAAGAGGGACACCTCATTCCTACCACTGACATTGTCAGTCTCTTTAAACGTGTAAAATAAACCAAAGTTAAAAGAGGATCTGTCAAAACAAGGGTGTAAAGTTTCAGTGTCTAGAAGCCAGCTCCTCAGTATAGGATTCATTCTACCTGCAGTGTAGCTTTTCAGTAGGCTATACTGCCATCTACTGGATATACAGTCTTGTGTCTTCAATCCATCAATGTGAGCAGTTCGATGTTTATAATTTATTCATCCCAAATTACTGATAACTCACAGGCATACTTCAAAGAGCATTTCTTCAAGTTGTGGAATGAAATGTCAGTTTGTCTGTCTGTTCCTTTGAGCAATACATTTAAACATGTTTTTGGTTTGTCTTACCTCCAACTCCATTTCAGCGTTTACTGCCATATCAGAAGTTCCTTTGTGTTTTGGGTCAGGATGCCCTGCTAACTAAAGAACCAAATGAGTGCAACATTTGTATTTGTTGCCTTTTATGGTGATCAAGTGCCTTAACATTTCCACTATGTAATTGTAGAATAAGTTGTTAAACATATTTTTTCTATGAAAGAGTTTTGAATATGCTGGGGGAAAAATGCCATAGGAAGAAAATTGAACAATTAGATAATGTACCATTAAGAGTTGTTTTACATGAATTATTTCAATAAAGTCTTTCTTTGCACTGCATGTATATAATTGTAAGTAATTATTTAATGTATTTTGGGGACACTTTATGCCGTTACTATATAGTATACAGTAGAAAGAAGAGAAGGGGTTACATGTGTCAAAGGTCCCAGACCAGAATCGACATCTTGAAACCCTTGTCTACCAAGGAGCTTTCTAATATCCAAATCTGCCAAATATCAGTTTACTAACTCACTCCCTGTGCTTTAGCAGGCCGTGTCACTGGGTTTCAACCCAGCCCCAGCAGGTAACCTGTCCTCTGCAACGGCAACACCACTGTGCACCCCCCGTGCACCTTAATATCCCTGACTGTATGGTTATGTGCTGTTTGTTAGGCCTGTGTAGTTCTCCATTTTGTGAGCTCCCCTGCTTGAATAAAAAAAAAAAGTGTGTAATTCCCGTTGTTGACCACAAGGCATTGCCACTGTAAACCGGTTTGGGCAGACATCAAGGAGGATGGAATCGTACCGTTTGTTTTATTTAACATTATATAAAGCCTGCTATAATCTCTGAACGGCTGGGTGGTATGATAATATACATCCAGAACACACGGCTACTATATTTTCACCTATAAGGTGGAAGTGAAGGGTTGGTGAGGGAAGGGAAGCTGCTGTTGCAGATCGGGGCGCAAATAAAGGACGACGAATAGCAGCTAGAGTCAACACAACTAAACCCTTCAGCGTATAGTCGGTAAACACCTTCACAGAGCAAATAACACAAAGGATGTAAAGCGAAGAGGCAGCCACATGTGCACCTACAAGGTAACTGTATCTTTCTCCATTTCTGAACATTACCACGGGGAAACCCTTCGACGTTATCTCGTGATCTGATCCAGCCAACTCCCCTGCACAGAGATGAGCTGGTTTTCATTCAGGTGTATCTGTTTTGCATGTTACTGCTGCTTGTAAAAACAGGTATATGGAAATGTACCCAGAAGAGCTGTCCACCTGTCTGGTGTTCGTTTCATTATTACGCACGCCAGCTTTATTTGTGCTATGCATTATTTATAGTTTGTTTTATTTCATTCTGTATATTTGTTGGCTTTATATGACCATGTTAGATAGGCTCTGTGGCTTTTGTTTCGGATGCCTTTTTGTGTTGGGAGTGTTTGGACACGTTGTTTTATGGCGTAATGCTTATGTTCCATATGTTCTCACGTTAAACGAGCACCAAACAGACCTAGAACCTCACGGATACATTGGAGAAGTTTTGTATCACAGGTGAAAGGATAAATCGATCAGGGGATTCGGCAAGAGAAGGCAAGTTTATTTATATGGCACATACACAAAGGCAACACAAAGTATCTGACACAACGCACAATGCATTTATAGATAAAGCATTAGAATACAGATGAGATTAAAACGTTAAATGTACATTAAAAGCATGTAAGTGTAGATACAAAACGTTCAGGATAGCTGTGGCAGACTGGATTCTCACTGTTCTCATACTTTTACCAAGCCTAACCTCTGTGTACTTTGACACCAAAGGCCGTTGTAGTTTGAAACATGGTCATGTGAGTGTTTCTGCGTGTCAGCCCTGTTTTGGAAATGTACCCAAACTGAGTTGTCCCAGTACATATAATATCACAGCTCCACCTCCCCATCTCATTCTAACATCCCTGAATCTGCACAGCTGCTGTACATAACAAGCAAAATAAAAATAACACATTTCTAGACTGATGCCATCTGAGACCTATCCCCCAGTACCCTCTCATCTAGTTTTGAAAGCTGCTTGAAGTCTTTGAGAATCAAGCATACATCTTGTTTTGGTCCAGCGAGAGTGGGCCTGTCCATCTGCATGGTCTCGGCTCCTACTACAAACGTCACAGCAGAAGAAGAGACATCCCCCTCACCCCACCAGACCCTCGGCCAGCTGACTATAGTGCTATTATAGTTCAGGCAAAGGCTAATTGTTGGTCACTTACAAAGGACTGCACAGTTTAAGTATTTGGATGGTAATACAGTCTCTTTCTACGGTAAGTGATATTACAGAGCAAGATATACATTTTTCTCTCAGCGTGAACTGTGATTCAGAGTTGACTTGATGACTGCAGATGGGCAAGTTTCTAAAAGAAACTGTAAGTTGATTTTAGATGCTTTTCTTGTTCTTGTTTCTTATTTTGTCTTCAGAAACGAAGATGACACTACTCGTGGTGTGTGCACTCCTGTCCCTGTCCTGTTGGGTGACTTTCTACCTCATCTTGTGTAATGTTAACGGGTCCAAGAGTTATGAGTGGAACTGTCGCCTTGTGACCTTGGTGCACGGAATCCTGGCAGTCTGCATCACAGCATACATAGGCTATGTGGATGGACCCTGGCCTTTCACTCATCCAGGTAGGATGCATACCTTCTATGGCTTCAGATTATTAGATGAACATATTATATTAATTTGTACTGTAAAGACAAAGTGCTGTTGAAATTATTCACAAATATAGAATAGCCTATAATTTGCCAAACTGCTGATAGGTTTGCTTGAATAATCATTTGGCCAAAGAAATGTAGGAAACTCTTTTTATAATGCTCATCCCAGGTTCTCTGAGCCCAAGGTAATATCTTCAAATTTCTTGCTTTGTCTGACTAATATATCAGAACCCAAAAGTATTCAGTTAACTGTCAAACGTGACAAAAAAAACAACATAGCATTACAATCAAGAACCTGAAACTAACAGTGGTGGAAGAAGTACTCAAATTGTTTACCTTAGTAGAAGTAACAACCCCACAGTGTAAACATACTTTGTTACATGTAAGAGTCCTACATTCAAAATCTTATTTAAGTAGAAGTACAAATATTGGCATTAAAATATACTTAAAGTACCAAAAGAAAAAGTACTCGATGTACTTAGTCACTCTCCACCACTGGAAACTAGGTGATTTTTTTTGACACTTATGATTGAAAAATAAAAATATTGTTTTATCATATTTGCTCATTAATTGTCAGTTAGTTGACTAATACTATCTCTGTGATGTTTAGCATGTTGTTGAAAATGTTCTAGAAATAGTTATTGTTTATGTATTGATAGATATTAGCAACAGTTTGCCAAGGATGTGTAAACCCTTCCTCTGTGACCAAATCATTTCCACTTTGCTGTTATTATTCTAAAAGTTTTTAATCAAAAGTTTGTTATTGCATGTTGATGTTAACAATGATGTGGTCCTGGCACAGCTGGTTTTATTATGGTGATTGCCTTATTATTTTTGTTTTGTATTTTAAAAGGACATGCTAACTCAAACCTGTCTGTTTTTGTTTGTGGATACCAGGTACAAAGAACACCCCTTTGCAGATAAGTGCCATGGTGGTGAGCCTGGGCTACTTTGTTTTTGACATGGCCTGGTGTTTGTACTTCCGCACAGAAGGAGCCGTTATGCTTGTCCACCACACCGTGAGCATCCTGGGGATCCTGTTGACTCTGTGGTTGGGGGAGTCTGGCATCGAGTCCTGTGCAGTGCTCTTTGGCAGTGAAATCACCAACCCCCTCCTTCAGGCACGCTGGTTCCTCAAAGAAACAGGACATTATGCGACGCTGCTGGGGGACATTGTGGACGTCGTCTTTGTGCTGTTGTTTGTGGTGATGCGAGTGTTCGTGGGAGGCACAATGCTGTACTGTGAGCTGATCTCCCCAAGACCCAGATTCTTTATCAAGTGTGGGGGAGTGGCCATGTACGCCCTATCCTGGGTGTTTATGGTGGACATTGTTCGATTTGTCAAACGGAAGAGCAAGGGCTGGTGCGAACAGCAGAGAGGCCACCAAAATACAGTAGCAGCTAATGGTCATGAAGGAAAAAAGGACTGATCGCCCTCTGTTTCAAGTCATTTTATATTATGTCTGTGTTTTTCATTTTGGACATGCACAGGAAAGTACAATGAAACTTCAGTTTATGTATATATATTTATGTATATTTTATAGCCATCATTTTTTATGTTGAGAAGTATCCTGTGACATCTGCCTGAGCATTTTAAAAAAAAGTAGGCAGTTATTGTAGCTGAACACATTATGTTATTGTGCAAAAGGTGGAGTTAACAACACAGATGTTGTTTATGTCACTGAAAACCAAAGGAGTTTCTTTAAACACATGAGCAGATGTTGCTTTCAGTTGCAGTGAAGTGTGGCCTAATCATATGTGGTGGTGCTTCAAAGTGACATTTAGTATTTGGAAGGAAACAGTTTACATATAATATCCGCGGTCCTTGTGAAATATATTTAGTTATATTAGCAAGTAAGGATTGGTTTCCTTGGAAGCTGTAGGCGTAAGTGAAACTTTGAGCAGATGTGAGGTGTATATTCAGGGACATGAAGTCATACCAGAAAGCTGGGCTGAATTCCAGAGACATATGTTTAATTACTTTAGGTGATTTAGTTTATAGTAATTCCTCCAAGCTTTTTTTATGTATGATTTTGCATACATTGTAATATTATTTGGGAAAAATGCTATTTTGTGATAATAATTTCAGCCATATTTCCAGGATACAAAATGTAAGTGCATCATGGGATAAATGCAGGTGACTAAGAAAGTTACCAACACCCGTCATCCCTGTTTTACCATTTATATTTAAATCAAATGTGTTGCTTTCATAAGTCGTGTGGTCACCTGGCTGCCACTGTTAAAATCACATGAGCATCACTTTTTTTATTGAAGAGAGCACAAATCTAACTGGTGTGTGCCTTAGTTATCTGAATGTAATTTTCTAATTTTTGTTTGGTTTTTGTCTCATGCCGTACTGTAAACCATCCAGTATAGGAGCAGGAGTAGTGAAGAATCGTTAGCAGTTTTGGATTTTGTCATTGGCTTTTGTAATCCCTGTCTAAAATGAAATAAAGACCTAGTATATTGTTTGTATGCTTCCGAATATATTTAAAACAACACAAAACTATAAACTGCATTTGCATTAAATGTCTCAGCTGTATCACTGTATAGAAACTGAAGTTACCTAAGCTGTCCACATGATGGTGTCATATCAATTATATATGAGGACAGTCAGTTGGTTACTAAAATGAAGACCTTTAAAGGAGAGAGGAAAAAATGCTTTTACAGCAAGATAAAGTGAAAATAGCCTCACATTATACATTCATTTAAAGTGGCCAGTTTTAATTGTCCTTTTACCATGAAATTAACCAATTAAATATGTTTTCATATACTGGGGCACACAAAATTTGACATGGTGAATGATACTGCATGCAATACACAATGTATTGCATACACTGTAGTATGGTACAGAATATTGTCAGCTGCCAGAAACATTAATAATGAAATAGGACTAACATGCACCACTTCATACAGTTTGTTGTGGTAAATAAGTGATGGATGGAAGGTAGATATGGCTAACTTGTTCTACTCATGTAGGCTACACAAGCACCGCTTGCTGCTGTAGTACAGAAACATACATTCATTAAAAACCCCATACTTAGGGAGCATTGATGGCTCTGATTCCAATGGATGCGGATCTTTTCTATAAAATCTTGTTTGGCTGCTCTGACTGCAGTGGTTTGCAGATGGACTCAAAGTAAATAAATGCAAAGACATGACTGAAAGTCTCCAGACAAAGTACTATCTTTTGCTTTTTCATTCTCTGTCTCTTACACTCTGGCAAACACACATACTGCCACTTGAATGTGTTTTCCCTCTGTTCTTGAATGTCATTCAAGCTTTGGCTGTGGATGCTTTAAGGAAGTGCAGTCAGAACAGAACTGTCTTCGTGTGAGTTATGGGCCAAGGAGTGGTCTGTTAGCTGTAAATAATGAACATAATGACTGTTCTTCCAGCCCCACACCAACCACAGACAGACACAGAACCATGAAATAATCATAGAACATCAGGCACAATTATCAAGTTAATCAGCCACCTAAAAGAAAATGCCTCCATGCTAGAAGTAGAAAGTAAATAAGTACATTTACTCAAGTATTGTACTATTCACTAAATTTTTGAGGTATCTATAGCCTGCTTTACTTCAATATTTGCATTTTCTGCTACTTTATAGCCTACTTCATTACATTTTAGGCAAATATTGTACTTCTTTACTCCACGTGTATTTGATAACTTGATAACTGTAGTTACTTTCCAGAATCAAAATTAAAAAAAAAAAAGTTCAAATAATCATAAGACTACTACCCAGAGTATGTGAAATAGCCTACTTCAAATTATAAGTATATAAGGCAGTTAACACTGGCTCCACATTTACTAGCTGCAACATTAAATGTGATGTAGACAATAATTATAATCCAAAAATATGATATAGGCTACTATATACTGTTTTTTTTATTGATTATACAGTTGGCTGATTGTTTAAATAAATAAAAAAATTATAAAAATAAAAAGCTTTTCCCACAAATTGCTTGTTTTGTCTGAGCAACCCAATGACATACAATTAATAAAAAGATAAATATGGCAAAACCTCACTTTTGAAAAACATCTATTTGAGTGATTTTATAATCACAGCCTATAGTATTATACTAAAAGAATACGAGTATTGCAGTACTATTACTAAAAGACGTATCCGTAGTGGCAATAGGACCTATTGTTGTTGTTAACGTCTTATTATTTTCGTGTGTCCCATATTTTCCCCTCTCCCGGCGGAAGTGGTTAGTGGAAGCGCTACTGGACCCCAACAGGACCCCAACAGCTAGCTGGCTAGGGCGTTGCTAGCAGCAAAAAGTGGGATTTTTGTACCTTTCCGCAAGTTGTATTCTTCAACAAATAACGTCTTGCGTTGGAAAAAGATCGTATTTGATGTTTGCTAAAAGTTTTCAGCGCCTCGGCGGTTTTTTGTCGTTGTTTACACAGGACTGGCGGGTACTTTCTGTCCCGTTAGCTGGCCGCATACGTTAGCTAGCCTGCTTTCCATCCACGGGAATTCTGTCTAGAAACGACTGAATACTGGAAACATGGAGTCAAGGAACGTCGCGCTGTGCTAACCGACTTCACTTGGTCTTTTTTTCCTCAAGGAGACTTTGTGAAGGACATAACACGGAGGCATATCGCAAGCCACTAAACATTCACGTGGCATTGTGCATGTATTTTCAGTCGTTGTCTGGCTCATTGTTATGAACGGGACTTTGCTTAGTTTGCACACGAAGCAAAGTTTTTTGCTGAAAGAGCTCATCTGTTTTGTTAACTGGTAGCTGGCGAGAGTCAGCGCCAGTCAGTTTTCCGTGAGAAATGATTTTCTCAGAACTATTCTTCTTATTTTAATCGACCATCAAACCGGTTTTGTTTTTGAATCTGCAGTCTTACACACTGCTACAGCATTACCCGCAGTTGTTTTTTTCTAAATTCGCAACACTGCTCTTTGAAACTCGGTATTGAGCGATTCTCATGGTCACGGGAGACTCGTGCCCACAGCCACAGACAGGAATTTCTGGGAGCAGGGAATACCGACTGGACTGGACGAATTTCCAGCACCTTCAAAGATCGTTTAGGCACCGAAGCCATTCAACCGAGCAGGGGTGTTGGCAGACGGACTACACCGCAGGGCCAGGGTATCTGTTACATTGAAATACAGATTGTTTACACGGAAACTGGGATGTGAATGCAAAGGATTCATACGGGGAGTTCGTACATGGACAACAACGCGTATCAGCTGGAGTAGTATATTTATTTCTGTTGCCAAAATATTGTTTGTTGCCGGTGTAGGTTATTATCAGACTGCACAGCTAACACGACAGAGGCCCCGATTCATTTTTAAGGTCTGCACTGTAGATTACTTGCTGCTATTCAGCTTTGACAAGGGGCATTGGTTGACAGATTGCGCACAGGTAGTATTTTTTCGTTTCCTATAGTGTTTGGACGTGCCTCGGAACAACCCAGCGGGGTCCTCCGATTAATTTATTCTCAACATCATTCACAAAATCCTCGCCTACGTCAGACGAATGCCAGAGAAGGACGCTCCAGGACTTCGCCTCATCACACTCTGGAAAATGTTAATCGGATATAAATTGCTGCAATTCTAGAACCGGAAGCCCAATGAGTGACACACAGTCCAGCTTCACTGACAGGTACAGTGTACTCTGTGTTCTGTGATTACACTGGCTGCACTCCACATGCACAGATTGAGTCTTCAGAGTAGTATAACAGTTTGAAATTGTTAATCATAACCCACAGTCTGATGAAAATATGTCTTACATGGTTCAAGTGAAGTGCTTCTTGTGATGATGTGCTCAGTAGCAGCTGTGATATACAGTCTAATTAGTAAGGGAATGGCATCAGATCTTGGTGGAATTTCTGCTGATCTCAGCATAGGCAAAGGAGTAGTCTTCAGACAGTAAAGCACTACTTGTCCAAGGAATGAGAAGGCCTGCCGCTATTTCTGTGCCAGGGAACAGTCATCCATGATCCCTGTACACCTTTCAACATCACCATTACCTCTAAGCCTTTAAAGCTAACCTTCTCTTACACCTATTAAAACAATCTCTGGATTTAGACAAACCCTTAGCTCACTGAGGCATCTGTCAAGTCAAATTTAAAGGTTGGACACCGTTGCTAAGATGAGCTGGCTAAACAATTAGTCATTACCCGAGGAAAACAGTAGAGAAGGATCAGGCTGTCTGACAATATATTGCACATCTAGATTAGTTTTATCATGACAGAAACCAACAGCTCTGTGATTCTGTAGCTGTAGAATAAAGAGTTTTCTGTTCTCCAGCTGATGTACTCTGGCAGTAAAACAGATATTGTGTCAAGTCTTGCTACCTGAATCCCACATACCTGTGAGGAGAGCAGGTCAGTATGGTGGAATGTAGTCAGTAGATTCAGGGCAGAGGGAAGCTCATGGCTAAAGCTAGAGGCTACTCCCCCCACTGCTATGACTGCCACCAACTGCTGTTGTGGTGCTGTTTATTATGTGTGTGTGGCTTTGTTTTTTTAATAATATTACCATGACAATATCCATGGCACAATTGGCTGAACTGGTGTATCAGATTTTATATCTCTGCCTGCTTTTGTCAGTACAATCAACAAATCTGGAAATTTCAGTAGTTCAGCAAACCTGTAATGAAATGTAAACTGCAGTTGATAGGAAAATAAATCCCAAAGAAACTTGCTAGTAGACAGTGCAGTGTGTCTTAGAATATTTTACATTATATTTAGACATCTCAGATTTGCCACTGCATGAGAAGGCTTGAGACAGTGCTCCAGCCATTTGCTGTCTGCTCATTGCTTTAGTCAAAGTATGTGGTTTGACATCTTTATAGAGAGTCTGCTCATCTGCTTGTTTTGGTTGTATAAGTTGTGTTCTAAGTTTCACAATTGTTCTTCTACCCGTAGAGCATGATACAGGTCATTATGTTAATGTGAAACAGTGTGACAGCAGTCTGAATTCTGTGCAGGCAAATAGCTCTGTTCCTCTGATGCAGAAAAATTTGAGTTGGCCTGAGATCTGATCTATTACTTTGGGATGCAGCAGTTTTCTAGGGTGTTTCTCACAGTTGTTTATGACTTTATTGATTAATGCCATTATCTGTCTCCCCCTCTCCACTTATGTCTATGTGTATTTCCCTATCCTTGATTTCTCTCCCCTTATATGTGGTGGTGTGCATTTTGTTGTCACTCAGTTGGCTATGCTGGGAGAATGTGTCTAACATCTAGTGGGGTTGGGCTGTCAGCCTGTAGGTCGGTTTAGTGCGCTCCTAGCTCTTTGTCATAGAGTTCTGCTGATCTCCACGTTTTTCCCACCCCCCTGAGGCCCTCCCGGGAAGTGTTGCTAGTGACATCACTGATAGTAAACAGTAGCTTTCAGGGTAGTAAACTGGCTGTCTGCTGTATGCTCCTCTCCAGGTCCATCACTGTAGGTCAGGTACATCCAGGGAGACTGACAGAAGTGTGTCATTGTTACGCCACTGAAGGACAAGTGATTATGTCTGTGGCTAGTTAAGGATAATAGGGTTGCAACTAATGAGTGTCATTAATTGATTAGTTATCATTGATTCTAATGTCATTTTTTATGACGCACTTTACTCATTTAGCTGTTATACTGTCAAATATAATGACAAAATGCCCATCATAACTTAACAGAGCCCTGGGCAGTGTCAGGCATGACAGTTCACGTCGTGCACACAGTGGCAGAGACCAAAAGCGTAGCATGTGCAGCGTGTAGCATCTTGCATACTTCTCAAGCGAGACTTGCGCTTGTTTCTGTGCCAAGTGAGTGTTCAGTTGCACGTATGAAGTGCTTGGTGTACACCAAGTACCGATAGGAGTCTACAGAAATACCTTGGTGAAGGGAAAACTACACCCAATTCTCTGACAAATAGTACACAATGAGGGAATTACTGGCTACACATCTAATGCATATATACCCCATTTCGACCAAGGCAGCTCTAGGAGCCGGTGCCTAATTTGGAACCAGTTCTGTGTGTTTCAGCAGCCAAAGAACTGGCTCTGCGCCATGAAAACTGGTTCTACCTTGACACCAACTCTCTGCTGGTCTAGAACTAAGAACCATTTATGTTAGGAGCTAGGGTGGGATTATTGTGACCAAAGACCAACTAAAGCTCTGTTATTTATAATTAAAAAAACACAAGATCTAAGACTACGTTCACACTGCAGGTCTTAATGCTCAGATCAGATTTTTTGCCGAAATCTGATTTTTTTTGCGCTGTTGTTAACACTGTCATTTAAATGCGACTGCCATCTGTCTCATGTGTGAACGGTATACGGCCCTGAAGTGACCCGCATGCGCAGAAGAGGACGTGATGTCAGACGCAGCGTACTGTGTTTGC